GTGCAGAACCTATTGTGGAAAACCGAATGGGTGATTTGTCCAAGAGACCACCCGAACTCTCCTAATGGGTGATTTGTCCAAGAGACCACCCGAACTCTCCTTACTCTTCTCTTGACTGGGAAACTAAATACCTTTACTTCAATTCGTAGCTCCTTAAATAGGAGATTACAGAAGGAAATTCCTTGTTGGATTCGGCTAGGCTAGGGTAATCCAACTAAAACTAAAACTCCTAATTACCTACTCCTAATGGTAACACAACTCTTACTTAAGAAGATAAAATAAGATAAGGATAAGGGATAAGGAATGGTGAAGCTGGTGGCGATTTGGCGAGCAGAGCTGATGTGGTAGGATAAGTGTGGACCCACCCTGATGAGCTATCATGTGGGTCCCGCCCTACTGTTGCTACCGGGTGGTGCGCGCGTCTCGCAGTGCTGCTGCCGTGCGGTGCGTGCTGTTGTCTAATGTTGCTGCCTAGTGCTGCTGCCGTGCGGTGCGTGCTGCGCGCTGCCGGGCGGTGCGTGCTGCTGTGCGGCTCGCTGTGCGTGCTGCTGCCTATGACTACGCCGCAGTGCTGTCGGGCGGTGTGTCCATAATAGTTTATGCTTTGCTTTGATCTAGCAACTTCTACACCCAAGAAATACTTCAACTTCCCAAGTTCTTTTGTCTGAAAGTGATCTTGTAGGAAAGTCTTCAATCTATCAATCCCAACTCTATCACTGCCAGTTATGACTATGTCATCCACATAAACAGCTAGCAAGATCTTCCCTACCACAGAGTCATAGCTAAATACTAAATGATCAACTTGACATTGTCTCATTCCAAACTCCTTCACCACCTCACTAAATTTGCCAAACCAAGCACGGGGAGACTGTTTGAGCTCATAAGTCGCCTTCTTGAGCTTACACACCTTACCATCCTCCCCCTGAGCAACAAACCCTGGAGGTTGCTCCATGTACACTTCCTCTAGAAGATTACCATGGAGAAAGGCATTTTTAATATCAAGCTGAAACAGAGGCCAATCATGCATGACAGCTAAGGAAATCAACACAAGTACGGAGCCAATCTTTGCAACTAGAGAAAAGGTTTCGACATAGTCTACACCATAAAGTTGAGAGTACCCTTTTGCAACTAAATGGGCTTTCAGGCGTTCCACTCTCTCATCTGGTAGATACTTAACAGCATACACCCATTTACAACCAACAACATACTTACCTGGGGGAAGATTGGTGAGTTCCCATGTATGATTGGTGATGAAGAGCAAAGAGTTCCTCTTCCATAGCTTTTCGCCACCCTGGCTAGGTAAGAAGCTCCTAAAAATCCTTAGGTATGGATACAGAGGACAACAGGGTAATAAACTGGCGATGGGAAGCAGAAAGGTGAGATACAGAAACATAATTGGATATGGGGTGTAGCGTGCAACTATGTTTACCTTTCCACAATGCAATAGGAAGGTCAAGATCAGAAGCCAATTCAGTTGTGGAAGGAGCTGGATTTGCCACTGGAATAAAAGGTGGTGGAGGTGCTAGTCTCTGTCGATGAGTATACACTTGACAAATTGGTGGTCTTTCAGTACGCTCCTGCAATGGGAAAGGTGGAGACTCAGGCATAATGGGAACCACCAAAATGGAATTATCAACTAGAAGAGGATGAGGAATCTCTGTAGGCAAAGGAGAGATATCAGAACCAGAGACATAGGGCACCGATTCAAAAAATGTAACACCAGGACAAACAAAGGATTTCCAAGTAATAGGATTGTAGCATTTATACCCTTTCTAGGTCCTAGAGTAGCCAAGGAAGATACATTTAATGGAGCGAGCATCCAACTTGTCTAAACCAGGACCAAGATTCTGAACAAAGCATACACACCCAAAGATCCTGGGAGTAGGGGGTATGGAGACAAAGTAGGAAATAAGATAGAGAACGGAGAACGACCATCAAGAATGAGTGTGGGCATGCGATTAATGAGAAAACAAGTAGAAAGTACTGCATCACTCTAGAAATGTTTAAGAACATACATATGATGAAGAAGAGACCGAGCTGTTTCAAGTAGATGTCGGTTCTTCCTCTCAGCCACCCCATTTTGCTGAGGGGTGTGGGCACAAGATGTCTGATGAATTATACCATGTTGTTCCAGGTACTACTGAAATGAAGAAAGAAAATACTCTCTACCATTGTCAGAACGAAGAATTTTAAGTGAAACACCAAATTGGGTACACACTTCAGCATGAAATTTTTGGAATGAAGATGTCGGTTCTTCCTCTCAGCCATCACCAGTTTCATGCCCTCCACCAATCTTCTTCCCCATCATTAGATCCTAAAAAACACACGAGGAAGGGTAAAATGTGATAAAACAATTGGGGGATTTGGTTAGTTTACTAACAGACATAAGATTAAAAGGAAACTTGGGAACGTATAAAACAGAAGACAAAGAGAGAGTTGTTGTGGTAACATTACCAACACCATAGATGGGGGAAGTAGATCCATTGGCAAGGGTAACATTATTTGATGTAGAGGTTGGAGAAAGGGAGGAAAACACACCTGGAGTCCCGATTATGTGATTAGAGGCTCCAGAGTCAATTATCTAGGGTGAAGGTTTGGATGCTAGGCAAGCTATACCAAATGAGCAAGGGTGATGGTGTTCTGATGTGAAGTGGCCTAAAGAAATCTCCCATACTCCTCTCTGGGAATACTCATCATCTACTTCCCAGAAGTAGTTGTGACTGTAGAAGATGGTGGACCATGTAAATCATAACAAAAGTTAACCGTGTGTCCTTCTCTCCCACAGTGTGTGCACTTCCTTGTTGTGCTCCTCCTTCCTCTGCCACGGCCTCCCCCTGAATCACAACCTCCTCCACTACTACGACCACCCATAGGGTTACCACAACCTCCCTTAACTATACGACCACCTCCTCTATGCCCATAAGAACCACCTCGAGTGCTAACCAGTGCTGATCTGTCGGAAGTTATGTTACTCTTTGTGGGGCTAAGAGATATCCTACGGAGACGAGCAAACACTTCTTCTAGGGTAGGGAGAGCAGATCCCCCCAATATATGTGCTCTGACAGGTTCATACTCTGCTTTTCAGTCCCACCAAGAACCGTGTAACATCTAGTTGTTCCTTTTGTTGCTGCTGAATTTTGACATCCGGTGTCAAGGGATAATAGACATTAAGTTTATTACGAAGATTTTTCATACTGGCATAATATTCTTCAAGGGTCTGATTTCCCTACTGCAAACTGAAGTATTCTTGATAAAGCTGATAAACCCTTGTAGTGTGTCTTGTCCATAATAGAGTTTCTTGGCATGTTCCCATATATCCCTTATTGTATCTAAAAACATGAAGTTAACACGGACTTCAGGCTCCATACTGTTCCACAACCACATCATGATCTAAGCATCCTCTTGCTCCCAATCACTAAAACCCGAGGATTCAGCACTCGGTTTCTCCTCCCGTACATGTTTCACTTTCTTCTTAGCCTTCAGAAATACTTCCACCGACTTGGCCCACGGAACATAGTTTTCATCATTGAGTTTGATGGAGGTTATCAGGACACTTAAAAAATCAGAGGAGATCATCACACTCGAATCACCCATAGATGCCATTTCAATCTATGAAACTGGTTCTGCCCGTCACACACAAAAAAAAAAGAGGTTCCAACCACTGCACTACTGTTCTTCAACTACCACACCAGCACACTTATAGTCACCATGAGCTTGCCCTCGTATGCATTTGGCCACTTTGAACACCACTGATCTGCGAACAAGCAGATTTAAAAACACAGAGAATCCCTCTTGAAACTGCTCATTAGAGGGTTCAAACCACAACTACTGCACCTACTCGACTACCACAGCTGTCACGCGTAGTGATAGCAGTCCACACACACAAAAAAAATTTTCTTGTTCATTCGAACTGCTGCAGTCGTCCACTGTCACCAGAAGTTAACCCACTGAAACCCTAGATGTTGCCACAGAAGCCTGGGTTTCGTCGCAGTCCTCTAACCCAGATTTCTCACACCAAAAAAAAAAAAAAAAAAAACAGAAAAGAAAGAAGAAGGAAGAGAGAAGAAAGCTGCAGTTGACTTTTATTAGTGGCACTCTGATACCATGTTGGTATTCAGCCGAACTGAGAAGAGAGAGGAGAGGAGAAGAAGAATAAGGAGAATAGTGTCGAACTGAGAAGGCAAAAAGTCTAACCCAGTTGACCATATATTTAACTTGGTAAATAAGTATACAAAGACAGAAATGCCCCTGTCTAGACAGAAGACATATATATAACTAATACATTACTTATATGGAAAAGACTGAAATACCCCTGTTTAGTCCCTGTTTAGTCAACTCTAACAAGGGGAAACAGTTAAATTGGATTGCTCTTTGTTACCATCAATTTCATCATCTATTATATGCTAACTAACTGAATTGAGTATTTAAGCCCTAACTGGATTGCCCACATCTATACAATAGCTAATTATTTGAAAGACAAAAGGTAAACAGTGAAGCCCCTCCATTAATAGACTTACAGGTAAGAAACATGCTAACATAGCTTCAACAAATATGTGTACACAAGATGAAGGTGCACATTCATGCAAGAAAACATGTGCAAACACAGACATACATGGAAGTCAAAACACCTGTAAATAACAGAAAAACATCAAATGCATAGGAAGACACTGGGCCAATGTCAAACACATTAACACAAACATTGACATGGAATGAAACATTTGGATTTCCTTGGTGAATATTAAATTTGGGTTCCTTACGAGAAATAATGTCCTGAAGGTAGAAGAGGAGTGAGATCATAACAAGGGAAAGGATTTCCCCACTTGGGACGCCGTTTAGAAAGCATATCTGATAGCAATTGTACATTACAACGTCTAGCAAGTAACTTCAAGTTCTTCACAAGATCATTGCCAACTTCTGTGAATCCACTATAAACAAATGCCAACAATTTCGTTAACGCTTGAAAATCAACATGAGAAGATAACCGGATTTTTCTCCTAAAATTTCCAGAGAAATTCTCAGGGCATTTCCTTGCAGCACATTCATCATCTGTTCTTTCATTAAGAGGCAGATCATTAGGAGGCAACAATGAAGGACACCTAGCTATTATAATGGCAGTATGCACATTTTGAGGCTCTCCATTTGCAGGTATAAGTTTCATGTCAGCAAGTTCTGTCTCATCCAGTGCTTTTGCAATTCTTCTTCCAAGTCCACTTGGAAAACCATAAATGCCAAAATAGCTTAGGATATATGTGGCAAACCATTTAGGTCCAGGACTAGACGTATCACTGCAAATCTCCAGAAGCTTATCCATTAACATTTGAATTTCAAATTTTTCTAACACCAAGACATCAACCACCCAAGCAGAGGTTACTTCTTTATGATTTCTTGCAAAACTCAAGTTTGGAATCAACTCAGATAACACCCACAAGCTAAAAAACAGAAGTATATCCGCACCCTCCCAGTCGTCATTATGAGTCCAGCAACAAATTGTCTCCTCAGATGTATGATATAGATGAGAAGCAATGCTTGACCTTCTAATATGGACTTGATTGTTGCAGCACCATCTTATAACACTGTGCAACACTTCTATACCTTCATTTTTAATGATAATATTTTGACAGATTGGCAAGCATGAATAACATGCCAACCCCATCAAATTAATCACAATTTGATGATTATCAGATACAAAGAACTTATCTTTGCTGGTGGTAGACCTTAAAGCATCAAGTAAGTATTCCAAATCCTCCTCATTTGGTATTAGTAGTTCAGATAAGACATGTCGTGTCTGAGAGGCAATGTATTTGCATGGAGAATAAACCATCAAAAGAACTGCTCTCAGTGCCGGTTCATGCTTGGATGTGTACAACAGATCATTTTGCAAAACTTGGCGCCCTTTGTGAATTGAATCCACACAGGCCAAGCTTCCAACACAAATGAAAATTGTTAACAAAAATAGTAATAGGCAACAAACAGATGCTTAATATAATTAATAAACCATAGTGACCTTGAACAATACAAAAAAAGTAAGAAAAATGGGGATGAAAACTTTACACATTACCATGCACAAGCATTAAGCAAATCAAGGTAATGTTTAACTTCATGCATCTGAGGGTTATAATCTTCTGCAAAGTGAATTGCAAGCCATCCAAGAATATCCCAAATGTAAGGCCTTAAAATTAGAAGACAATTTGCATCAAGGCCCTTGCGTGCTGTATTTAGTAGTTCTTTCAGGAAGAAGAAATGCTGGTTTTGCTTGCTTTTGTGGAAATTGCTTAGAAGAAGATCGAGAATAATTTGATGAACTCCAAACTTCCAAAAATAAAAATGGTGATCCCCTGCCCAACGGGTTATCAAAGCCAAACGGCATGCCTCAACCAGTAGAGCAACCTCATTAGTAGCAACCTTTCCAGAACATAAGCTCCAGTCATGCATTGTATTAAGTATGGCTTTGACAATAGACTTGCCATACAATCTCATTAATGCAAGGCAGCTTTTTTCAGATCTCTATGCACAATAAAAGGGAAAAGGGGAAAACATAAGAAGAGAAACTATAATACTAGAGTCATTTCTGAATGAAAAAAATGAATAACCAAATAGTATGGCTTGCAAAAGAAAAAGTCGTTACCACTAAACATTGCACAAGCTTAAATGCCTCTATACGAACAGAATAAGGATGTGAGTTGCCCATACACTGCACCATCATTAGTAGAGGGGCTTCTCCATTTTCAAGAAGCTTTGTGGTCCCATTACCACATAAAGCTGATAAACAAATTTAGCATTCATTTTAGGTCAAGATGCAGAGGAAAAAGAAAAGAAAAATAGTACATGCAACCTAATTATTTAGAAACACTAAGAAAAGAAGTGTACTATGAGGGAAGAAAAAGGTACCTATTGCAGAATAAAGCTGCAAAATAGTAACTTTCACAGAAGAATTATGCTTTAAAGAAGTATCCCCCAACCCTTCCAGCAATGTACCATTGCTCCAAACAGAATACCTGGAAGAAGGCCATCGCCATAAAATTGTACTCAAAAGAGATGCCATTTCTTGGAAATATTCAAGTGATTTAGTCCCAAGAAGAAAATCCTGTAAACCACATACAATATGATCAACTGTATTTGTACTTTTCAAGATTTTCCAGATTTCCTGTTGCCTTTTGAACCTCCATGGAGTCAGCTTTGAAAGGATCTGGTTCAAAGCTGTGACACATGAAACTGCGGTTGTTGATTGTATGATAGATAGCAAGGATGATAAAGGATGAACAAGCTCTAAAACATTATACTTAAGTATAGAATCTCCTAAAACATCAACCAACTTCACTATAACATTCACTGTCATTCCCAATACAGTATCATTTCTGGAAAGAAGAATTCCTTCCAATGCAACCAGTATATGAGGAATAGAATCCTGAAAAAAGAAAGGATATACAAAGGTAAATAGTTAGAAACCTAGCTGTTATAACTACGAAATATGAATTTCCTAAAGCAAGGTAAAAATACTGTAATGCAAAATCACACTTAGCCAAGTGAGAAAAATGCAAATTTGTATCCCACTGCATTGAAGTAACTGAAATTCCTTCAATCTAGATCAATGAAACAGATTGTACAATGCTTGCTTTTTCATTTGACATGTTATATATCTTTGACAAAAGCAGAAAAAGTCAACCATGGTTTGCTTAGCAAGATTCAGCAATTTTTTTCCAAAACCTCTCACCATTTTACTAAGTATACAAAGATTCAAAGAATCTCTTATTTCTTCATATCACCAATATTTTGTAAATATTTCAAAACGCCAATGATAAATTAAACATTTAATTCTTAAAATTTCAGAATATCATCAAATCCTTCTTTGTATTTCACTAAAACCATTGGAAATTTTTGTAAATATTTTCCTAAGAAAAATGGAGATTCTTCAATTCGATGACCGGCTTACTATTCTAAATGTAATTTGACATTACTAGATTTGGTAGAGGGTAACTCAAGAACTTTGGGAGTTGAGATTGGCCGAGGATTCCACCAATTGGCATGAGAAGATGTCAAAGGCCTCGGGGTGTGGTCCTCGGGGCAGAGACTTTAACAATTAAGTTAGTCAAGGTAGTTGGAAAGCCGAGGTGCCGAAGTGTTGAGATGCAACATGAGTAGCTATTACAAAGCCCCATCAATGTTGCTGTTGAGGGCCCGGGAATAGGATCTCGTCACGGGTCGGTCCACGGGGAAAACCTCCTGTTTTCCCTTGTTCCTTCCTGCTCGTGATGAACCTATCTTGGCGCCTTTGGTGATTTGTCCAAGAGATCACCAACTCTCCTAACTCACTCTTGACTGAATAATTTGATATCTCATTCAATAAT